TTCGGCCAAAAACGGCCCGAAACAGTCAACCCGAGGCGACTCGCCGCCGCCAGCGGCGGCGCCGTCGCCCGAAGCACGGCGGAGCCGCCGTGCCGGAGTTGCGATTTGGGCCGAAAGAGGCCCTGGGCATAATTTGGATTTTTTTTGGAACCCGTGCAGGTACTGTTAGCGTGTTTCAGTTCCCCGGGAAAAATTCAGGGGAAAATTAGGGACAGCCTGCAGGCGCACTGTGAATCGTATTCGGATCCCGAAAACAAGTAAGGACCCCTCACCCTATTTCCTATCACGGTATTAAAGTTCAAAATGATAAAACAGTATTTCTTGAATTAACGCATGTGTGAAATTACTTAAGGTTGCTAATGGAGCCCGAGTCTAGTGTGATTGATGATTTACTGTTATTTGGCCTGTTTACAGCTTTAAATGCAAAATGAGGTTTGATGTGTTCATTTTACAGATTTGTGTGCATGTACTACGTTTTTATTAATTATGGGTTGAATGACTGAAAAACTGATACTGTATGTTGTCTGTTTGGTATGAATTACGATTTGCTTGTTTAAATGTGAATTGATGATGCTGATTGAGGAAAAGGAAAAATGAAAGATTGTGTAGACTGATAATTGTATTATGGGGGTCAGCCTGACTAGATATCCTGGGAGATGGTGGACGGACCGGGTCCGTAGGGAACCCTACCGGGATTGTGGTCTCACATGCCGGACGGGGTATGGAGATCTTATGGTTTTGGCGCCCATACCGGACGGGGTATGGGGACGGCCCGTTTCACCCTCATACCGGACGGGATATTGAGGTTTATGGTTTTGGCGCCCATACCGGACGGGGTATGGGGACGGCCCGTTTCACCCTCATACCGGACGGGGTATTGAGGTTCATGGTTTTGGCGCCCATACCGGACGGGGTATGGGGACGGCCCTGGAAACTGATTATGAATGTTAAAGGTTAACGGGTAGCGGAACCCCTATGGACCCCCACGGATACTAGTAGGCTGGTAAATGAGAAAAAAGATATGTTGTACAATGATTGAATTACAAGAGGCGTGATAAGTGTTATGTTTTACAGCTTAGATTATTCAATGATTATGATAATGTTATTGTTTTTCTCATATTGTTTTCATAAATTCCACCAAGGTAAGTGGATGGTAAAAGTTTTATTATTGATAAAAGGTTTTGTTGTTAATAAACGAGTTTATTGTAAAATTATGCTCCATTGGTCTTTTTGTGGTTTTCTACCCGCCTTTATCTCCGTGACGGTGAGATATCGTGATGTTCTTACTGGGCTAGTGTAGCTCACTCCTAAATTAACCATTTCAGATCAGGAAGACATGGTTCCCGAGCCCGTTCCGCAGGAGGACGACGAAGGGGATGCCTAGAGACTCTGTAGTCATACGCATAGTTTATTTTTGAGTTTTCTTTCTTAGTTAGTTTAACCTTTTATATTTTAAGTACGTTTGTTTGGTTTTTCGTGTAAGGGATGTTAACTGAAATTTTGATCTCGCTTCCGCATTTGATATATTTAAACACTCATTTCATTTTAATATTTTCCGGGGCCGTTACAATAATGTTATTACAAATTAGCACTTATTTATTTAGAACACGATGGGTTTATATAATTTATTACATTTTTAAATTATAATTTTTTTTTTTTAAAGTTACTATCCTATATATACATATATATATATATATAATTACAGTTACCCTATGTTGAAGGGTGTACGATGGATCATTGTCGTACTATATGTGTAATGAAAGCATGGTGGGCGGGATCTATTATGGTGGAAAAATCCATTAATGTACATACAATTGATTGGTAAATTACATGTGCATATATATACATATATATACATATATATACATATAACACGTACGTACTGCCATATCAAACATACCCATATATTCAATTTTCACATTAAATCACCCAAAAATCAAGCCCCACCATGGTAAATGCCAAAATTATGCAATGTGACCACTTTAAAAAATGTATATATTATGGGTCACATTAAAATTTTAAAAGTAAAATTACATTCATAGTTTTATATTTTAAAAATACATACTTAACCCATAAAATAATATATTTTTTTAATAAATTTGGAAAGCATATACATACATACCTTGCTGTTTCTATATACAGGGAAGCAAAGCCAAAATCTTGCTTCATACTTTTGTAGTATGGAAAAACAAAAGGTACTAAAAGAAAAACTTATCAACTATCTTTTTTTTTTTTAATTTAATTTATATTAGACCCCACGAAAAAGCAATCACGAAAACATATACATTTCATATGTATATTTACTTTATTTTAAAATTTTAATAAACTCGTTGAAATTTAATTACTGTAATTTAATCAACACATTAATGAATTAAATATTTATCTCGTACTTTTTTTAAACGTGTATAATAGAAATGAATTATGAATTAATTGAAATAAAATATTATTTATACCTAATAAAGATATAAAAAATAATTTTAAAATTAAATAAAATATTATTTTATTATAACTGTCTAAATTAAATAAATATAATAAATTTATTAAAATTTAATTTAATTAATATATTAATAAATTAAGTAATTCTCTTACACTTATTTTAAATATTTTGTATACTTTTATAATAAAAATAATTTTTTTTAAAAGTTCCGAGATAGATTATGAACGGATTAAAATAAAATAATATTTATATTCAATAAAGATATACAAAATAATTTTTTAAAATTAGATAAAATATTATTATTATTATTTAATTATTTACTCAATAAAAATATATAATATATATAAACACACTTTTTTGTTTTTTATTATTAGTTTTTTTTTTTTCTGAAGGAAATTTTGTGGTGCACAGAAATTATGTGCAACCACTATGTCGAAAGGGGACAATAATTTGAATGGAACCCACAGTTTCGGATTCCAGGCCCAATTCTATGGTCGGCCTGGTAAGCCTATCAGGATCTCCAAAAGACTCAGAAGAGGAATCAAGTGGGACCCTTTTTTTTAATATCACCGACCAGTCGTTGAGTGCCACGTGTAGGGATAAGAATTGTCATCACCATCATCGTGCATGAG